ACAATAAAATTGATAATCTTGTGTTATGTAATTTGTGCATAAATAAAGTGCAATTGCAGAAACTGATTCAGTTTATTATCAAACACAGACATGTTACTTAAAATTATTTTTTTGGGTTTGTGCCTAATATTTAGTGTTTTTGGTTGGCGTGATGAATATTTTCGAATAAATAATTTAACGTTTGTGGTGGAACCCAAGGGCATTTATCGTCTTCTTGGCTACAGTCCTGCTGAGAATTTAACAGCAGGAATAATCGCAAATGTCGAAAATATGCAAACTTTGTATTTGCTAGACGATTCGATTCGGGAAATTCAACCTGGAGCTTTCCAAAACTTGCCAAAACTTAAACACATCATTATACAATACAACGAGATTTCGAAAATCCCAGCAGGAATTTTCAACAATTTCCCAAACTTGACGTATCTGGAATTGGGTGATAATGGAATCTCATATATTGACCCTCATGCTTTTGATAATTTGACTCGTTTGACCTCAATTAATTTGGATAACAATAAATTGAGTAAAATTGATTCGCATTGGTTTGAGAACAAACCTGCCCTTAAATATATCCACCTCGCCGGTAATTTAATCAAAAAGGTTTCCGCCGATTTGTTTGAGAGTTTAAAAGGGCGAAAATCGATGTCTTTGTTTTTGGGAGATAATCCTGTGGAGACAATCGAAAACAATGCTTTCAAAGGATTTGAAGAAATGTCAGTTTTGTCCTTGGAAAATCTCAATCTTACGTCTCCCACAGCTTTTCTCCAAGGTCTCAAAATCGAAACTTTAGAATTTAATGGAAATAAATTTAAATGTGTGGAAGAGGAAGCTTTTGATCGGGTTTTCGTCGCCGATACGACTGAAATAAAGTCAAATCCGCTGGAGGCCGAGTGTTTGAACAAAATTCAACTTTGGGCCAAAAAACACAACAAAACTGTTATCACACACTAATTTTCATTTTACAAGTCTAAGGTTATCTCCTATTTCCCAGAAACTTTTTAGAATAGAACTACTGGTTATTAATTTACTGAAACATTCTAAGAATTTCTGAAGCTTGTCTACCGGAATTGCCGCAAAGGTGTAACCTTTCACTATTTCTACTGTTTAAAATTTATTAACTTTGTATAGTTGTATGTGAATAAATAGTATGTCTTGTGGCGTTTTTAATCTTGTTGAAATTTCAAAAAAAAAATACCGACCACAAATTTAGTAACTCGATTTTAGAAGTGTTGATTTGTACAACCGCCGACTCAAGGAAAAAAATTGTTAATAATTATCTTGTTTACAATAAAATTTATAATCTTGTATTATGTAATTAGTTTACTCCGATATTATAAATAAAATTTAGCGCAAAAATTGACTCATTGTTTTCGGTGAACCAAGTTATCGTTTTTCTGGCTACAAATGAGACAACAATAATCATAAAAAAATTGAAAATACGGAAAGTTTTTATCAAAAAAATCCAGCCTAAAGTTCTCCAACATTTACAAAAAATTTTAACAAATTCTTAACTTGACATCTGGATACCCCATATTAATTCCTTCGCTTTTGATTTTAAATTTAACAACAACTTAGAGAAAATTAATTTGTATTGTTTTAAAAACAAAACCTGCTTTAAAAAAATATCCACTTTGAGGGTAATATAATCAAAAAATTTTTCACCTGCTTGTTTGGTGGTCGTTTCAAAAAAAATTAAATGTCTGTTTATTTCAGAATTTGAAATAATTCTTCTATTAATTAATTCTAATTATTTTGAGCCCAAAAACATCACATACTTGTAAGAAAGTAATATTGTAAAATCAAGGGCTGATTCTATTTTTCAGTTTTTTTTATTTATTTTTTTTATTTTTTCAGATTATCCCGAAACTGCATAATAATATTGTACATTTCAAAGCTATTTATTGTTCAAAAATTAATCTATATTGTTTTGAAGACAAACCTGCTTTAAAAAAATATCCACTTTGAGGGTAATATAATAAAAAAAAATTCACCTGTTTGTTTCGTAGTCGTTTCAAAAAAAAATTAAATGTCTGTTTATTTCAAAATTTGAAAAAATGTCTTATTTTGAGCCCAAAAACATCACAAACTTGTAAAAAAGTAATATTGTAAAATCAAGGGCTGATTCAATTTTTCAGTTTTTTTTTTTATTTTTTTTTATTTTTTCAGATTATCCCGAAACTGCGTAATAATATTGTACATTTCAGAGCTATTTGTTGTTCAAAAAYTAGTCTATATTGTTTTGAAGACAAACCTGCTTTAAAAAAATATCCACTTTGAGGGTAATATAATAAAAAAAAAATTCACCTGTTTGTTTCGTAGTCGTTTCAAAAAAAAATTAAATGTGTTTATTTCAAAATTTGAAAAAATGTCTTATTTTGAGCCCAAAAACATCACAAACTTGTAAAAAAGTAATATTGTAAAATCAAGGGCTGATTCTATTTTTCAGTTTTTTTTTTATTTTTTTTTATTTTTTCAGATTATCCCGAAACTGCGTAATAATATTGTACATTTCAGAGCTATTTGTTGTTAAAAAATTAATCTATATTGTTTTGAAGACAAACCTGCTTTAAAAAAATATCCACTTCGAGGATAATACAATCAAAAAATTTTTCAGCTGTTTGTTTGGTGGTCGTTCCAAAAAAAATATTAAATTTCTGTTTATTTCAGAGTTTGAAAAAATGTCCTATTTAGAGACCAAAAACATCACAAACTTGTAAAAAAGTAATATTGTAAAATCAAGGGTTGATTTTATTTTTCAGGTTTTTTATTTTTATTATTTTTCTTTTAATTTTTTCAGATTATCCCGAAACTGTATACATTTCAGAGCAATTTGTTGCTCAATTGCTGAAACATTTCAAGAATTTCAGAAGCTCGTCTACTGGAATTCCTCTGTTTGTTTAAAACACTTTGGCAAGATTAAAAATGTTATGTTTGAGTGTGAAGAAGAATCCTGTACAAGTACATATTAGAACCAGCAGGCAGCAGTACAAGTAGACGTTTGAAATCAGTGGAACATGACTCGCTTATCTGATATGCAGACACCACACTTCATCACCTGCCCGCCATGTAACACCTCGACCAAATATCTGTTACAGAACGCAAGAAAATCTCCCGTTATTTCACGCACTTTTACCGATTCCTCCACGATCGATTATATCTCTAGTGCACTAATAGTGCCGTTTTAGCGCTTCATTGTTATTACAGGTAACGCAGGTGTTTCGCTGAGGGCCGTGCAGAATCTAACGGTCGCACAACGAAATTCCCCCATTGTGAAACTGGCTCATTAAATGATATCAATTAATAATAATGAATTATTGGAACGCTTGACTGATAAATTCATCGAATATGAATATTTATACGGAGGCCACAACAAAGGCGGCCAGATTTTGATCTCGGACTACCGATGGTTCTGTCATTTTAATTAGAAGGCTTCTGTTTGGATATTTATTGGGCGCTGGGTAATAAATAACCTTGGGTGTGTCTTAATTCGAATTATTTGTTCAAAAACTAAATCGTTCATTCAACTCCAAAGATTGACAAATTCTTGGGTTTGAGATGGCAGATTCACCGCTCTGTAATTATCCTAATAACTATTTTCAGGATTTTGGACACATAATTGTCGGTTATTCGAGCCGTAAACGTGTGATAATCCGGCTGAAAACTGAAATTTCTGAATTTTTTTCATTTGCTCTTCGAGCCGCGATTAATTACGCAAGGCGACAAAAAAAGTCATGTCGTGACAACTTGACATTTTGTTTCCAAAAAGTCCACACACTTTGAACAAAATATTTTTTTTCTAATTTAAATGAATTTAAAATACTTTAACTTTAAAAAATCAATACTCAATAACTATTAGACCGATTTTCTTCAAATAAAGACCATTTTAAAAGGATGGAGTTGCCCTTTAGAATGATATGCAATTTGGAATTGAATATTGGCAAACTTTTTTTCGAACACTGTTCGAAAAAGTTCGAAGTAATCTAAGAAAAACCTTACGAGTAATTTTTTTTCTTCGTCACCATCGTGTAGAGCATCTTTTTATTAGTAAGAATCCAAATTTTTAAAATAATATACCGAGTAGTTTTTAAGATATGAGAAATGCATGTTAATTTTACTTAACATTGCATTTTTATAAAAGTATTTGTTTTAAGACTGTTTTTTTTGCTTAAAAATGGTCAATTGCACCTTCTTTGTTCTAACTACAATAAACAAAAACTGTTTGTTTACTTAAAACAAACAAAGAGTACCTGCATACTAATTAAAGCAAATAAAGAGTTTTTTTGTTCTAAAAATTATCACTGATCATTGAGCAAAAAGGATCTAGAAGTTTAAAGCAGTAGCTTTAAATATAAGAACAAATCTTTTTCAAATTAAATGACTTTCCATTCAGATTCCAACTTGTTCACTTTGTTAAAGCTTTCTGAACTTTTTTTTGAAAATGTTCTCAGCAAATGCTTTCTTATCACTTTCTATTGATGTTGAATGCAATAAGTCAGTTGCTTCGTATGCAACTGTTATCACAACAACTACTACCTACAAGCTAACTGAAGCTAATCGTAGAGGTTTTACTGTGTTTTATAAAAATGTGACTTCAGATTTTTCAGTTTCTAAAAAATTCAATTAAACTAGTTAATTAATTGTAAAATTTGTGTTAACTTAAATTGTTTTTCATTTAGTTCTCTCCAAAATCCAATTTGTGTTCGATTTTGTCAAAAAAATTGAAAGTGTCAAACATCCAAATTTTTATTTTTTATTATTTTTATTATTTTATAAAGCGAGTTATTTCAAATAAAACTTTAATTGTATTTTTTTCTTTCTGTTTTTGTTTGTTTCTTTCTTCCTTTTTCTCTTTCTTTCTTTTTTCTTTTTTTTGTGAATAAATAATAAGATGAGTGTTCACTTCTATAAATAAAAAAATCAAGGGAGGTAAGGAAACTAACGTCTTCTTGCACAAGACATAAAAACATATTTTTGGTTAAAATTGTCGAAACATGTTTTAGGCACTATCTAGTCCCATCTTCAGTCTAAATAATATAAAAATAAAAACAACGTGTTATAGAAAAGATACAAACTTATCTAGACTTGAGGAAACTTAAATTGTTTTTCATTTGTATTCGACTTAGTCAAAAAAACTGTAAGTTCAAACATCTAAATTTTTATTTCTGTTTTATTATTTTTAAAATCTGTGTTTCTGAAAAGCGAGTTATTTCAAGTAAATTTTTAGATGCAATTTTTTTCTTTCCTTCTTTCTTTCATTCAACACGGATTTTGGTAACAAGAAACGAACAACATACATTTGTAATAAAAAATGTACGTTGAAGAAGTAGCAAACGGAGCAGTTATGTAATTTTCAATTTAGTTAAAAAATTAAAGTCAATTAAATTGTTTTTCATTCAATTCTCTCTTAAACTCATTTTGTGCTCGACTTCGCCAAAAAATAAAAGCTAAATCATCCAAGTTTTTGTGTCTGTTTTATTTGTTTTGAAATATGTGTTTTTTGAAAAAGCTAGTTATTCCAATTAAAAATTTAGTTGCATTTTTTTTCTTTTTTATTGTTTTTCTTTCTTTTTTTCTTTATCGGATCGAATCGTATAAACAATAAGATGAGAGCATCACTTGGTAATGAGAAACGAACAACAGGCAACATTTGTAATTAAAAAAACGGTTTTGTTCGAAGAAATGGCCAACTGTACGCTGGTGAAGTAATAATAAACAGTGTTGAGAGTCGGTTATCGATTTAAATTAAGACAAAAATTAAAGTTAACTTAAATTGTTTGTTTTTATTATTTTAAAAATCTGTTTTTGAAAAATCTAATTATTTTAAATAAAAATTGTGTTGCATTTTTCTTTTTTTCTTTCTTTTTTAGATTGTAAATAAGTAATAATATGGGAGTTCACTTCTACAAATAAAAAATAGGAGGTTTGAGTTTTCCAATTTTTTATTTCAATTGTACCAACAAATTAAATCAGTTGACTTATTGCATTTAACATCACTCGAAAGTGATGAGAAAGCATTTGCTTAGAACATTTTCAAAAAAAGTTCGAAAGATAGAACAAAGTGAACAAGTCAAAATCTGAATAGCAAGTGATTTAATTTGAAAAAGATTTGCCCTTATATTTAAGGCTCGTGCCTAAAACTTCTAGATCCTCTTTGTTCAATGATCAGTAGTCATTTTTACAACAACAAAAACTCTTTATTTGCTTTAATTAGTACGCAGATACTCTTTATTTGTTTTAAACAAACAATTTTTGTTTATTCTAATTAGAACAAAGAAGTTGCAATTGACCATTTTTAAGAAAAGTCTTAAAACAAATACTTTTATAAAAATGCTATTTTAAGTAAGAATAA